TGGCAAAAAAATAATATATAAATAAATATAATATTTATATAAAATTGAACTCTGCAACCATCTTCTCTGCACTCTATAGATCGAGAGAGTGCCTGAATTTTTCAGAAACTTTTTGACTATGAACAGCAGCTCTTGTTATCACAATAACTTTTTCAGCACAACAGCTATAACCTTCTATAAAATATTAAGTTTTTTGAAGATTTACTTTACTAAAAAAGTTCAAATGAAACTGAAAATTGCAGTAACCTTGGGCTTGGTGTTGCTTTTTATAGTTCACTCGTGACTAATTCAGTAAATTGATTGATTTGACACGACAATTATTTTGATAATATTTAAAATGGATGAAAGTTAAAAATAATTAATTTTATTTAATACAATATAAAGAATGATTTATCCAAGCTTCTCAAAACACAAATGTAATGTCATCACACATTTACAAGATATAGTTGTTGTGCTGAAAAATTTATTGTGATGGCAGGAGCCGTATGTTTTAAAAAATTTATTTAAAACATACTTCACAACTATATCACCACCTCAGCAATTCAACCCACCTCTTCTATTGATTTCATCAATCAACTCATCAAAACTAACTTCTATACTCACCGCAATTGGTTTAACTTGTTTGCTCTTCCCAATCTACTTCCAGCAACTTTCTTCCTCCACCCACTCACCAAAATATTTAACACCCAAAATAACTTTTCCCATGTCTAATAATAGTCAAGTACCTATAATGCAAGAAAACAAAAATTATTAACTAATATATTAAGGGTTGACAGATTTTAAAAAGCATCTACAGAGTCGCTTAAACGATGTGGTTTATCGTTTAAACGATCTGCTATATCACTTACTAAATCGCTTAATCGCTTAAGCGATCTTGTATAAATAAGCATAATTGCTTAAGTGATCTTATGTCATATACCTGATCACTTAAGCGATCTGTTGCCATATACCAAACTTAAATAATATCGCTTAAGCAATCCGATACCATATACCTGATCGCTTAAGTGATCTATGATCTGCTGCATTATACGACATATCAGATCGCTTAAGCAATCCAACAGATCTAGAACACATTTTCAGTTATTTCCACCTATAATCGGTGCTACCACCCCTAGCTACCTATAATGCAAGAAAATATCCAACAAATGTCACTCCTTTCAACTTGCATTACATCAAACACAACCCAACAACCTAAACAACTAAATCAAAATCATAACCCAAACCCAATCCATCATTAAATCTTTGTAAATAGAAATATAAAATGGAAAAGGGAGACACACATACCTAGACGAAATGTTAGGATGAGGAGATGAATCTGCGGCGGAGAAGATGTTAATGGCAGAGGAAGAAGATAGTATTAATGGTGGGAAGATGTACAAGAAGGAGAAAGAAGAAGATGTAGAAGAAGAAGAAGAAGATGCAGAGGAAGAAGAAGATGTAGAAAAAGCTTAGAATAAACAGCAACCAGGGGAGGGATGCGTTAATGGTGGGAGGAAGAAGAAGATGTTATGTTTGGGTTTGTTTACAAGAATTTCAGGTTTTTGGGGACATATTATAATTTTTTAAATATTACACAATGCTTCATTAATCTTAATTAAGCCATGATTAGAGTTTAACTATCATTAGTTTGTCCTAATAAAAAATAAGGTCATTTAGTAAAGACTAAAAAACTACATGACCTTTTAATTAAATTCAATGCCAATATGTGGCCTTTGATTAATTGCCCCGCTGATATTTCTGAAGGAGTGTGGTGTCAATGTTTGTGCTATGTAATGGGGAAAGAAAATCCTATTTGACCCCTATCTATGATATAGTATCAAGATTACCCTCTTAGTTTCATAAACTAACAATATTACCCCTTCTTTGGTTTTTCCGTTAAATTTAGGTGGCTTTCATTATTGCATTTAGTGTTTTTGTGTCAAATAATGAAATTTGAAATAAGATGTTTGATTTTGTATTTTCAAAATTTATAAATACATTTATTATCATTTTCCAAAAAAAAAAATTTAGAAATTTGAAAAAATGGAAACACTGAAATATTTTCATGTTTTCCCCTTTAGAAAACGGATATGATAAATGAATAAATATTACAAATTTTGCAAGAAAAAAATAGAAAATGAAACGATAATGAACACTACCTACACTTTTGACACTCATAAAACCATCGTTCCTAATATTCACAATTAGACAATTAAATTAACAAAGCAAGGGATGATATTTTTAAATTTTGACACTAGAAGGATGAGATAAATAGAAAATGAAAAAGAAGAAAACGATGAACACAACCTTAACTCGTAATTTTCAAAATCGGACGTTAAATTAGAAGCAACCAATAAAACAAAAGGTGGTGGTGTTAGTTTTTGAAACTAGAGGGGTGAGATTTTCATCAAACATAGATAAGGGGCTGTGGAAAGCCCCTCCAAAGTTGACGGCTGAATATTGAACGTTAAATAAGAAACAAGAGGAGTTGAAAAGTTAAAAACATTTATTGGCTACACCCACACCAACCTCATTGTGGGCATATTAGTCAAAGTATTTATTTATCAATTACGTCTCTCACATGCTTCAAATAATTCGGTGGTCTCCAGAATTTCTCTTCACACCTAATTTTCCTTTGTCATCTATTCAATTTATTAAGTCATAGATCTTGAAGAAATTTATTATTCAGTTTATAGAAGTTTTATCATTGTTTTATTTGACTTTCACTATAGTGGTCGAATCTTAATAGGCGGGAGATTGAAGATGATAGTGTCTGAATCCCGATGTTCAAGCAATGTCGAGCATTGTTTAATGTATTGTATTTAAGCTTATAGATTGATTATTCTGATTTGCATATTTTCTCATGAATGAAGCAAAACAACTAAATTTTATAAATTTCAAGGATTTCCTCTCTAAACTGATTTATGGATAATTGCTGGATAAACAATATAAATGGTGGGGTTTGAGTGTGGTGGAATTCCAACCATTCAGGACTATTGGACATTTTCTGGCTTTCATTATAGCGCTCAAATCTTGATATATAGATAATGTCGAGCGATCAGGGGTTGGAGATTGAAGATGATAGTGTCTGAGACCCCATATTCGAGCAATGTAGAATATTATTTAATGTATTGTGTTTAAGCTTATACTACATATGAGCATTGTTTTAAAACCTGGTTAGACCTAGCTAGTTTAACTTGTTGAATCAGAAACCGATGATCGAGTCAGGTCGGTTCGACTAAAAAACCAAAATTTTCAAATAACTTAGTTTGAACTACGGTTAGATTGGATTTTTTATTATGAACCGCTAGTCCAACCGATTTGTCCAACAGTTAAACCATTTTTTTATTTTTTTATATGTCATGTTGATGTCAGAATGACGTCATCACACTGAGACCAACATGATGATATTACGGTTTAACCTGACGGTTGAACTGATTCGACCGACCAACCTGATGACCTGATGAACTGATCGGGTCACTTTTTGGATAGGGTTTTAAAACTTTGCTAATATGAGGACAATTTCATTAGATAATTAGAAGAAGAATATAGACTTGAAAACTTTTTTTGAGGTTACTTTTCAACGCAAGAGAAAAATGATGGTCATTTTATATTATTTCACAAAAAGTAAAGGTGGTTTTGGGAATTATAAAGGATGTGAATGTGAAATATTATTCTACGTTTTCAAAGAACGTATTGTGATAGAATACAAATCGAATCTTAATTCTGGAAGGAGAAATTATGCCTTTACAGCAATTTTTGAATTTAATTAATTAATTAATTTTAAACCATTAACTCAAGACCAGGACTTATGGACAGAAAGTCCAATAATTTGATAAATAGATTAGAAAATTATTGGAAAAAAAGTTGTAACAAAAGTGTGAAATTAAGAAATTAATCAGATAATTAATTGCTCCTCTTCTAGAATAATTCCGTTATTGTTTATTCAATATTATTATCAATAAAAACAATTAAAAAGAGTAATATTTTTTTCTTGTGAAAAATCTGATACCAGAAAGACAGACTCTAGCGAAAATAGTTCATCACAAAGAAAAGAAAATTCACAACAAACAAAAAATAATAATCTCCAACAATTCTCATCACCTGTAAAATTTTCATCTGAAACTCTCTTGCTGGTTTTCCTAGTTTCTCTCCAATATCACTTTTTTAAGTCACAGTTTGTGCACACCTTAATTAATTCTTAGGGTTATTGAACACCCTATAAATCCAATAAATCAGATAAGTCACAAACATGATAAATGACCACGTTATGTGACTCAAACACAATACCTCTTGGTAAACCATAATCTTATCATCCGGCCACAAGTCAAGTGGTTTTCTCTCCAATATCCTTGAATACTAGAAAAATCGAAATATGATTAGTGGTTAATAATTCGAGAGTCATACTACACCTCCAAAGTTGGAATCCCAACTTCGGATTTTAACTCCCATTGATTATAAGATAATGAGATGAGATGAGTGTGTTACTTGCTATAATCAATGTTAGTGCCGACACATAAACAGTCACGTAAATTAGAATCCAACTTTGTATACATAGTATTGGTTATAGTAACAACGAATATAATATTGGAACATTCAAAGCATTCTTCAATTTTCCCATAAATGAACTCTCACAACTAAAATGGGGCATATTACAAGTTCATTCTAAAGAAACTGCAATTTTGTGCCAATGTAAACAACCTAAAAACACTCAACTCCGGCAAATCTTGATATACTATGTAGAGTTAAAATTTTAGAAGTAAGAAATAATCACAAAAGAAAATCAGAATACATAATACTGTATGTTGGATTAGTAACTTCAGAAAACTGAGGAAGTTCAAGCACCTGCATACAACTTTCTTGGCTTATAACAAAGTAAATAAGAAGACAGATTATGGTACCTAATTAATCATGATTCGTCGCTGAAATGTTGGTTTAGTCCAAAATAATCTGTGAGACATAAGCAGTCACCAAACAATCTTGTCTGCATCTTTCACTGAGTGCCAGAGAGTCCTGAATCTTTAATTCTCGAAGAGCAGCGGATATTGTATCCCTTCTGGTAAAGATGACAAACCCCGGCAACTTATAATCTCAAGTTTCTGAAGTGATGTGAGATTTTGGAACCACTCTGGTAATGCTTTTAAGCTGGGACATTTTTCAATCCGCATGTACTGTAAAGTAGTAGCAGATCCTTGAAGAATCAACTGAGGCAAATACTCTAATGCTGGTAAGTCAATGAGCATAAATGTTTGAAGGTTTAGACAAGCGTCTTCCTCTTGCAATTCCATCTTCAGATTAAGCTTTGGGCAACCCTGAATCACCAACTTCTCTAACCTGGTTAGTTTTTTCATACTGTGTGGCAACGAGATCAAGCATCCACACTCTTGAATACATAATGTTCGGAGGGCTGTGAGGCTTTGCACGTCGAACAAGCTTAGTAAGTTGAAGCAGTTATCCATGCACAAATATCGAAGAGACTTCAAACACTCTATACCATTCTCTGGTATATACCGAGCAGCCGTGGTTAATTCTAAATATCTGAGACTGCTCATGTATTTGATATTAGAAGGCAACCCATGAAGAAGTGAACAACGAAGAAGTCTCAAGGTTTGTAAACTGTGAAGCTTACAAATTGATTCAGAGAGTTCTGTCAAAAAGATATTATCTGATAGGTCAAGATATCTTAAATGTTTCAATATACCAATAGAATCTGGCAAAGCAAAATGAAGTATGGAGCTTAAACTTAGCAGCCGTAGGTACTTAAACATTGAGAAACACATCTTAAGAAAAGATTCGGTTAAAAACCCATAGTCTTCTCTTGGGAAAATAAATGGTCCGAACAGAGCCTGTGTTACTTGCAAGTTTTCGAGATTCATCCTTATAGAAGTGAGTATCCACGAATGAGAAATGTCGAACTCTTCTATCTACATTTTGGGTTTCGGATTTTACCACCAAACACTCTCTTTCTGCTACTGATACTGCAAGATCATGTGAAAGATCATGCATTTTAAAAGTAAAATAAAAACTGAAATCCTTAACATCTTGAAAGAAGCACCTTGACAAAAACTCCTTCAAGTACCGCAGACCAGCATCTTCCAACTCTTCATTTCCATACGGGATCACAAGTCCAAGCGCCATCCAAAAATGGACCAAATATCTGCTGTCAAAATGATAATCCTTGGGAAATAAGGAGCAATATGAAAAGCATCGTTGCAACTGAGAGGACAGACGATCATAACTCAATTTCAACGCTGGTAGGATGTCATCCTCCCCTTGTTCTAGCCTCCATATGTCATTGTCTTTTATGAACAACCAATCACTTTCATCTGTTTTTGTACAAAGTAAACTTCCTAAAGTTCTCACTGCTAGNTTTTTTTTTTTCTTTTTGTAGAGAGTGGTTCATCCGTTCATCACTCCTACTAGGACTGAATCGATAATGGATTATGTTACATCGGTCAAACCATTGGACAATGTTTTTTATGAGAAGATAGACCGCCTAATGTAGGACTTAGAAAGAGTCACGCATTTGACTGCAATGGAAGGGCCGTTTGTTGAGCATGTGACTGAGGCCGAAGGCCAAGTAGGCGAGATGGATGAGGAGAAAGACATGAAGGCTCTTGTTCGTACACCTCCTTCTAATTGGCAAACCAGTACACCAAGTACTAGTTTGCCACCAAGTATTGGTTTGTCACCAAGTACCGGTTTGCCTATACATCCTGAATCTAAGTTGGTTGACCTTATAAACGGTCTACACAACAAGTTTGACTTGTTGAGCAACAAGTTTGACATGTTGAGCAGTACTGTTTATGAGAAGGTAGATAAATTGGAAGAAGGGTGCAAAGGGTGGAGGAGAAGGTTGATGTGCTATTGGAAATGGAGGAAGTTCAACCTAAGAGAAGAGAGACCCAAAAAAGCAAGCATATGACATCTCCTTTCATGCAATTAAGGTATGAAAAGAAGAGGAGAGTTGCGAAAGAAAAGGAGGAAGCTAGAGGAAGTGAGGAAGCTAAACTGGCTGATACGGAGGAACAAGGAGGAAGTTGGGAAGTGAAGCAAACTGATACAGAGGAAGAAAGAGGAAGTGGGGTAGTGAAGCAATTAAAGCTTGATTTGTTTAAGGCAGTAGATCAGGAAGGGAAAAAAATCTTTTTATACCTATTACAATGATGAACAAAGTGATGTGGTTGTGTAGTGCAAGATCGGAGATTATCCTCGAAACTGGTTTGAGCAAATTTTGACAATGGACAACTAATCTGATGACTTGATGAGTTATTTTCCCATATTTTGCCTTATTTTTGCTTATGTTTTCCATGGGTATTGTGTGATTGCTTAAGCGATTTGTTTTGTTTAACAGATTGCTTAAGTGATCTGTTTTGATTTGATGGCACTTATCATGTTGTTTGTTTTGTTGCAGCACATTGATAAGGTTTTGGCACTTATGAGATTGAGATAGAGCATTGAGGGTGACAATTTTTATCCGTATTGTGCCATAATCGATGTGACATTTGGCCAAATCCTAGTAAGCGTACATGAGAAGTTAATGAAAAAGGCTAATGATGGAAAAGTCACAACGGGCGGTAAGCGAAAAAGAATGGCCATAAATGAGTATGACGGTGTCCTTGTTGGCTATCGGTTTGATGAGAGGATGATGCAGTATATGAGAGGGGAAAGGCCCAAATATGGCAAGAGTTGGGCAAATGTGAAAATAGTATACTACATTGTCACATCAAAGATATGCATTGGATAGTTGTCGTTTGGCAACTGGAGGAGGGCCTGCTGTAGATTTTTTATTGCAACCCCAGTATTTGTCGAGGGAGGCAGTTGGAGAAGGAGATAGAGCCGCTAGGTACATTGTTCCCACTACTGTTGCGAGAAAGCAGTATGTTTCAACACTTGGGCGATGAACTACTAACGCGAAAGTGGCAACACAAGCGCTTTCCCATCCCGACAAATGATGCAAGGTAAATTTTGTATAAAACTTACATAATACAATTGTTCTATAAGCTGATTGTAATACTAATGTCTTCCTCATATTGTAATGCTGATTGCGGGGTATATGCACTAAAATTTCTTAAGTTCAACATGACCAACACCTTAATGAACGGCTTGAATGACGATACAATGAGCAACTTTCAGGAGCGCTTGGCTGTTGAGTGTTTTCGCAGTCATATGGATCCATTAGTTACCGTGGAAGGTCTTTTGGCTGTTAGGCTTCTACAGAGACACCGTTGAATGCAGCCCTAGAGTCTAGTTATTACGAGGAAGATTAAAATCAAGGAAGACGGAAAGGTAAAAGAATTCATTTTAGATACTATTGGCCAAGATTGAGCAAAAACTGCATCAATTATGTCAAAAAGTATGTGTCAGTTTCATTCAATCAAAGCCATTATTGATGTTGTCATCAACAAGTATGGAAGTTAGACTTACAATTGTAGTTTATGTAAATTGCATTTCTTATATGGATAATTGGGTTGTCTTGAATTGGATAATTGGGTTGTGTTACATTAAACTGATATTGTTGGAAGGGGTGTTGTAGAAGAAGACAAAGAGGTTGCTGCTGTTGTTGCTAATGCTAATGCTGAATGCGTGCTAGATAACTTTGGAGGATGGGGAAGTGGCTGAAGACAATAATGAAGAGGGAGGATGGAGCCTGCCGAGGCTGCTATTAGTTTAGGACATTTAGTTAATCTGTATAATGTTGTATTTTCATGTAATTGACACATTTAAGTTTTCTACTAAATCAATTCAGTATTTCTTTCCCTTTTTTGACTTTGAGTTTATTTAGTGATGTTGTTAAATGGAATGAATATGTGCTGATGCAAATAGGTTGTCAAATTCAGGAGAAAATATGGAATGAATACGTGTTTATTCAAATAAGTTGTCAAATTGAGAAAATATAGAGTTAATATGTGTTGATGCAAAAAGGTTTTTCAAATGGAGGAGAAAATACATAATTAATGTGTTGGACATGATCGCTTAAACAATGGCGTATATCACTTAATCGATCAAGGGTTTTTTAAACTGGATCGTTTAAGCGACGTAAGCCCAAGGATGATCTTGATTCTGCCTTTCACTTGATCGCTTAAGCGAAGCATGGTATCGTGTAAGCGAAGAAGACTAAATACACTGGATCGCTCAAGCGATCCTGCGCTTGAGGATGATTTTGTTACTGCCTTGGACATGATCACTTAAGCGATGACTGTATCGCTTAAGCGATAAAGGCTAAATAAACTAGATCGCTTAAGCAAGACATGAAATCGCTTAAGCGATCGTACACGAGGGGATGATCTTGATTTTGCCTTTCACTTCATCACTTAAGCGAATCATGGTATTACGTAAGCGATGAAGGCTAAATACATTGCATTACTTAAGCGAGCCATAGCANGGTTTGGGTTATGATTTTGATTTAGTTGTTTAGGTTGTTGGGTTGTGTTTGATGTAATGCAAGTTGAAAGGAGTGAAATTTGTTGAATATTTTCTTGCATTGTGGGTAGTTGGGGGTGGTAGCATCGATTGTAGGTGGAGATGATTGAAAATATGTTCTGGATCTGATGGATTGCTTAAGTGATCTGGTGTATCCCTTAAGCGATCTGGTATGTCGTATAATGCAGCAAATTGTATATCGTTTAAGCGATCAGGTATATGGCATAAGATCGCTTAAGCGATCTTCTTTAAGTTTGGTATATGGCAGCAGATCGCTTAAGCGATCAGGCATATGGCATAAGACCACTTAAGCGATCATGTTTGTTTATACCAGATCGCTTAAGTGATCATACTGGATCACTTAAGCAATCCAATAAGCGATATAGCAGATCACTTAAGCGATACACCACATCACTTAAGCGACTCTGCAGATGCTTTTTAAAATCTATTAACCCGTAATATATCAGTTGATAATTTTTGTTTTTTTGCATTATAGATACTTGGTTATTATTAGACATGGGACAAGTTTTCTTAGGTGTTGAATATTTTGGTAAGTGGGTAGAGGAAGAAAGTTACTGGAAGTGGATTGGGAAGAGCAAACAAGTTAAACCAATTGCAGTGAGTACAGAAGTTAGTTTTGATGAGTTGATTGATGAAATCATTAGAAGAGGTGGGTTGAGTTGCTGACGTAGTGATATAGTTGTGAAGTATGTTTGAAATAAAATTTTTAAAACATACGACTCCTGCCATCACAATAAATTTTTCAGCACAACAGCTATATTTTGTAAATGTGTGATGACATTACATTTGTGTTTTGAGAAGCTTGAACAAATCATCCTTTATATCATGTTAAATAAAATTAATTATTTTTAACTTTTATCCATTTTAAATATTATAAAAATAATTGTTGTGTCAAATCAATCAATTTACTAAATTAGTCACGAGTGAGTTGTAAAAAGCAACACCAACCCCAAGGTTACTACAATTTTCAGTTTCATTTGAACTTTTTTAGTAAAGTAAATCTTCAAAAAGCTTAATATTTTATAGAAGGTTATAGATGTTGTGTGAAAAACTTATTGTGATAACAGGAGCTGCTGTTCATAGTAAAAAAATTTCTGAAAAATTCTAGCACTCTCTCGGTCTACAGAGTACAGAGTAGATGGTTGCAGAGTTCAATTTTATATAAATATTATATTTATTTATATATTATTTTCTTGCCAAGAACTAACAAAAATAATAGAATAACAATAGATCATTCAATTTTATGTACGGTTCGAATTGACAAAGACTGAAGTGTTATTTTTACATTCTATTGAAATGAAAAAAATAATTAATAATAATAAATATTAAATAAAAAAGGACTAACAATAGTAATAGAATAACCGTAGATCATTTAGTTTTAAGTACGGAGCTGTAACTCTACAAAACCATCTACACAAACAATTTGTTGACTAGTCATTCAAACTTCGTTTACTCCTTAAAATACAACTCTTTTTAAAATCAGACAGAGAAGAATCTCAAAAGAGTGTAATATTTATCAATGCTTTAAAAATTTCACCGTCTTCTTCTTCATCCATATCTCAACTTTGAAGCCATTTTCTTGCTCGAACTCTTAACATCTTTATGTTTCGAAGAAAGAAGAAGAAGATATGTTCACTAAGCTTGCATGGTTATCTAGTTCTCTTCTACCCAAATCTCTACCCTTGAATTTGAGA